CGGGGACACGAGGGCCCATCTGGAGGGGGAGGAAGACCTGCCGGACGTGTTCACGGTGGGGGACAACATGCTCCTGGTCCGCGACCCTCGGGGCCTCCGAGAGAAGATCCGGAGCTTTGCCCAGGCAGGCTCCCAGAGCCTGGAGGTCCTGGCCGCTTTCGAGGGCGGTCTGAAGCCCTACAGGGCGCCGGGCGGGCAGCGGACGGAGAGCGCCGAGGGCCTGGTGCACGAAGCAGTGCTGATGGCCCATACCCGCGCCACGCTGGACGGGCTCGCGGGGACCCTGCGCCGCGAGCTGGAGGCCGCGACGACGGAGGAGGAGCGGCATGCCAAGCAGGAGGAATTCACGCAGAAGGTGCACGAGATCGTGGCCAGAGAGGGGCAAGTATACCTTCCCGCCCTGCCGCGTGCCGTCCACGACTTTGCCAGCTCGGTGCCCCTGCGCACAAACCTGGAACAGACGCTCAAGATGTTGGCCTTTCGCGGAGTCCCCCTGACGATTTTCTGCCCCGGCTACGGTGACGTCGTGGCGCACATTCTGGCGTCGTCAGCCCCAGGTAGGGTGGGATGGGGATGTGGCAGTGGGCGTCAGAGGGGCCTAAAAGAGTGGCTTGATCATATAAAATGAGCCAAAGTAGGGCTTTTGGCAAGGATTTCTGACTGTGTCCATCCTACGCTTGTACAGGTCTGGCGGCTCATGGCGGATTCCTTCCCCCAAATCTTCGCCTTGTCTCGAATTTTTTCCGTGCCGGACCCGACGGGGTGGCCCATGGCTTTTCGGGCCCCGTGGTCCACGCTCTGAACATGAACATGACCACCGCCAGGCATTTTCGGTCGGGGATGATGCGGGGCGCATCGGTGGGGATGGGGGGGGGAGAGCTGCGGTCACCGTCAAACGTCTTCCTCCTTGGGGGTTCCCTTGGAGACTTGAAGATGGCGAGCGGGGGGGGAATGGAGCGACAGGTAATATCGTTGGGCTTTCTTGAGACAGGACGAGACCTCGTGGCGCAACTCCCTCTTTTCCTAGAGGCATACGATGTTGTCATCATGGGTGATGGAGGTATGCAGTATGCAAATCATTTGATTGAGCAAGTGCTAGGCACCGGCTGAAGCAAAGCGAGCGGAGGCAGCAAATAGGAGACCAAAAGGAGCCGTTTGGAGCCACAGCGCGAGGCAAGAGAATTCAACGAAAGTAAAAATAATTTTGGTCCCCGGCATGGAGTAGTGTACCGGGTGTGCAACGGCGCACATTGGCGGTATTCGCGTTTCTTTCGAAAATTTCATTTCTTTTTCCTCACGTGTCCTAATGTGATCTCATCACGACAAAAATGTCACCTGCTCAACGACTATATTCCTGCAGCTCGACTTTGAAAAGCCGAAGCATTAATGGGGGCCCCTTGTACAATAGTCCTTGCTTCAGAGGGGAGGTTTGGCCTCGGCGGCTTCCGCAACTTGGAGGTCGGACCTCACATGACTGTGTAGCTCGGGCCACCGCCTCCCTCGGGAACGCTCCATTCGATGTACTCCTCAGGCATTTTAATGCTGTTTAAAAAATTGGATACGCAAGGCTCAGAAAAATCATCGTGAGATTCGGATAAAACCAATGGGTAGGAAGGAAAACTCTTCTCAATAGCCTGTGCTCGCCCAGTCTGGCAAACCTGTGGTGCCTTACCTGCAGCATTTGCAGTGCACGCAATTCTGAGCATTTATTATTAGCTCGGCAGACTCCTTCCCGCCTTCGTCCTCGACCTTATACTCATAAACCCCCGCCGGACAAAACCTTTGCTCCGGACCAGCATACTCCGGGTATGAAATCCGACCAGGCACGTCAGTGAGATCTTTCTTTACACGCAAGTGCGCGGGTTGGTCTCCTTCGTGGTAAGTTCCGCTCCGCTGCAGGTTCGTGAGTAGATCAAAGGTGTATCGACCGTCGTTTTTCGGGTACTGAATCGGTGTGCAGGCGGCGGCTTTCTTGCTTTTTGCCGAGTCTGAGACGGTGTTGTGGAAAGTCCATGGCTCCCGCCCTTTAAAGATGTGGGTGGCCAATCCCGCGTAGGCAAGGCCCGGAGCTAGCCCCTTACTGAAACCCGCGTGGACGTTGCGGACGGCCTTGAGCTCCTCGTAGACCCAAGAAGACTCCATGCTGTCTTGGTAGGCGGTCGCTTCATGAGGGATAGGCGGGGCGTTCGGGTCGGAGGAGGAATCGAGGATTTGGAAGATCGATTCAGCGGCAACCATGCCCGACTGTGGAGAGACAACATAGAAGGAGGGATTAAGACGATCATTCGGACTATAAAAATAATCTGCCGTATTCTATCTCAAGCTAAGAGTGGTGCTTCGCATGCAGGAGGCCTGTATGAGGAGAAGGGGTGCGAGGGGGAGGTCTTTACCTTAATGGCAGTGTGTGAGCCTTTGATCTTGACGGCATTCAAAAAACCGGCACCGCAACCCACCTATTCCAGGGGCAAGAATGAAATCATGAGTGCCGCGGCCAGCTAAAAATGAGACGGGAGTCAGCAATCCTCAAAAGACATTTGCCGGGGCCCAGAGCCCTGTCTCTCTCCCATACCAAGACTCCTCCGGGGAATGTCAACTTCGGAATGGCATGATAGCCTCCCTCATTCAGGACTCGCGCGCCATAGGAGATGACCTGGCCGTCCTGGATGTGTCTCAGGATGTCCGGATGCAGCTTCCAGCGCTGAAACTCCTTGTAACTGATAAGATGATAACGCGAATGGGTATATCCGGAAAGGGTAATGAGGAAACTACAATGCAAGCTTGCCGTACAAGGTGCGTGCGTTCCTTGAACGAGTTCCGCACTGGGAAAAGGTTTTTGAAAACGAGAGAATCAGAAAACCTGAAAGGGAGGAAATGATAGCACTCACGGGTTCAGGTACGGATTTTCATAGTCGAGCCCCACAACCATCCCGAGGAGCACGAGATTTGGCTTCAGGTGGTAGAGAAAGGAGCCTCCGAAGGTCGTGTCCAGAGGCCCCGTTTGCAGGGGCCACCCCAGCGTGTGCATGACGAAGCTGTCGAGGGAGGGATGACGCGGGTGTACAATTGAGGGAAGCACCCCGCCCGATACATCTCCGCGCCCTCTACCCGGTCTCTCTCTTCCGCCCTTCCTCGACCTACCCTGGTTTGAAATTCGCCTCTGGGACCTCCCACACCTCCTTGACGCCGAGGCCGTACGTCTGCACGTCGGCCGCAGCCCTCAAGTCGAATTTTTTCATCACCGCCTCAGAACAAGATCCGCGCGCGCCTTCCGCGAAGATCGTCTGCTTCCCCCGCAGTTCAATGCCCGGCTGGTAGTTGCTCTTCTTGCTGCCGTCCTTGCTGATGCCCACGTCGCGCGTGGCCACCCCTACCACCCCCCCGGAGCCCTCATCGTAGAGCACTTCTGCGGCCGAAAAGCCGGGAAAGATGTCCACACCGAGCTCCTCTGCCTGCTCACCGAGCCAGCGCACCAACTGGCTCAAGCTCACAACATAGTTTCCGTCATTGTGCTGAAAAACGACGTGTTGGGGAGGGGCCCGATTACGTGTGTGAGAGAATTGTTCACACTTGAATGATTGTCGATTTCTCCATATTTACTCTTCCCATAGCTTCTTTACCCTTGTAGCATACCTGCTGGGGGGGCAAGAGAGCGTTCGGGAGTCGCACGGACTTCTTGTCGTCGTAGAGGATTAGAAAGGCGTCTTCCGTTACGGGCGTGTCTATGGGCGCCCCCTTCTCCCTCCAGTCAGGGATAAGCTCATCCAAGGCCCGTGGCTCGAAGACATTGCCTGTGTGATTGTGTGGACCCGTAAGGGTATCGGGTGTCACGTACAACGTCTCGTGTATAGCCCACGAAATGCCTTCGAGACCGACTCCGTCATGCGCTGTCCCCCGCCTGCGCAATAAGGGGCGTGAATCACCACGCACCAGATAAGATGTGCGCTCCAACCTCCGCGCCTTTTTCCAGGACACAGACGCTCAACTCCTTATTTTGTGCATTTGCTAATTGCTTGAGGCGTATGGCGGCAGCTAAGCCCTGCAGTTGCAAGATTTTAAACAAGAGAAGGATCGAATTGGGGCAAGAGATATTGTGATCCCAAAATAAACACGCCGCTAGACGGTAACGCTCTTCTTGCAGCTTGCCCCCCCGCATTTATATTTACCGCTGGCCCGGCGCCCACAGTAACGACATCATAGTCCATTACGTCTCGTTCGGGTGCGCTTTCGTCCGATTGCGCGTTGGAAGAAAAGAAACGCGCTCGTGTTTCCAGGTGTGTTGTCGCATTCTTCTTTTTCGCGTGGTTTTGTGTGCCAGTGCTGCGTTTGCCAGACGACGGAACTTACTGAGTTGAAGTGCCCCTTCCACCGAGACTGCCCCACCCCATTTCTTACCTCACTCCCAACCGACGTGCACTCGCCCTGAACACTCGGGCTGCAGGCATGACGCGAAGCATGGTAAGCATTTACCTGTCTGTAATAAGGCAGTGGCTGTCGATTGTAAAGCCCCCCAAAAGGGAATAATTGTTGCATGACGATGCATCCCTCAAGGTGAAGAGATCCCGGCGATCAAGAACAGGGAGGCAATTACCCGACGGCACATTTGCTGCTTTGATCGAAGTCACTCAACACAGTAGACACACAAAAATGTTCCAATCAGACGTTCGGCATGCGTCTGCAGGGATAATGATGGCAAGACTCCGCCCATGACACCTGAGGCACACGTAACACGGGAAGGAGGGGCGCCAGAAGCGAGCGAGGAGACGGCATCGCCTCCACCCAGGGGCCTGGATTGGAGCACTGCCCGACAGCGCATTTGTCAGGTGTGCGACGACGCCACCTCAGCTGAAATCCTCAGGCTGCGGCAGGGTTCATTGAATTTCATATTCGTGGCTAAGGACGCGCTGCTCTCTCAAGGTGCTTTGCTGGGGTGTGTCACGGTGCTTGTGATTGGCGAGGCCCTGGAGGAGCATAGCCACGACGACGGCGGCAATGGTGAAGTGGCCAAGTGGATTTATCGCGGTATATTGGTAGTCAATGTGATACTCAATGTGTGGATTGTGGCGGCACGGCAGATTTGTCAGCAGCGGGAACTTTTAGGGCGAGTACGAGAAAGTGTTGAGACGTACCGTGAGAGCGTTCTGACCGCTGCAGATGATGAATATGCATCGATACGTCGGCATCATGCCATTTTGAAACAAGGGTCGCCTATGCTGTCCATCTACCCTGTATTTCGGGACAACCAGTGGCAGCGTGTGCCTGGCCTTCTCTTAGTCGAGGAGGACATAATCGCCCTCTGTGCCGGAGACTCGACTCCCGCAGAAGTAGAGGAGCTGGACCTGGAGAGCACCGAGAAGAGGGAGAACCATAGTAGGAATGTAGAGGAAGGGCCGCATCACCCCTTCCTCGCGTCCACGCCCGCGCAAGGGAAGCCTGAAGTGTTGCCCGCCGGGAGCAAGGTCGGCATGCGTCCTGACCGCCAGACTTCCTTCTTGCGCAAGAGCGCCCTGTCTCCTGTCTCGCAACGATTGCTGGTTCTATGCAGAGACATGCGCTGCTTTCGCCTGCGGGCTACGCCCATGAAGGCCTTCCTGGAGGAGATGCTCCGCCCCGACCGAGCCGGCTCGCCGCCAGACACGCTCTTCGCCAAGGATATGCGTATCTCGCGTTCCGCTGCGAAATACGGAGTCTTGGCATTGATGTTGATTCTGCTGGTGGCTGCCTCAGTGCGCTTTCTGTGGCAAGAACAGGAGAAGACCTCGTGGGCCCACTTTCTGCTCGTGGAGCCCGCCTGTCTGGCCATCCTCGCCCTTCCCGTAGCCAGGCCCGCCCTGTCCCTGCTGGCGGAGGCCCTCAGCATCGCACGCCTACTGACAGTGGTGGAGGATTTGCATCTGGCGCAATGGCAGGGCAACTGGGGGGCGCAAAGGAAGGGAGAGGCGGAAGCGGACCTGGAGCCGGAGCGACGCATCCGGCTGAAGTCCGCTCGCCGTGACCGGATGCCTGTGAGGAGGTTTATGAGATACGCTGCCGCCACCTTGCGCGCACGTTTGCTGCCCGTACCGCTGTTACAACCCCCTACTCGGTCCGCCGCAGCACAGCATGTGCCTGTCACGATTACAGGGGGCCACCAGGGGGCTAAGCTTCAGAGAAGGCGCGCACTGCTGCCTATCCCTCTCATCCAGAGCAAGACGGTGGAGCGCCTGGGCGCCGTCACCATGCTGGGAGTGATAGACGATGAGTTGCTTGTCTCCGATACCTCGTCTCCTGAAGCGGTCTTTCTTTTGAACTCGAAAAAAACGCAGGAAACGTCCACGTCTACGGTGCTGCAGATGGTCCGCGAACCACTCCTTGATCCTCCCCCTGAGATCCTCCCTGCCACGACCCTGCCTACCGTCAAATTTGAGGATCCTGGGTGGACACAGCACTTGGCCTCCTTGAAACCTGTGGGTTTCTGCAGCTTGGCATTGGTGGAAGCAGAGGCGCGGAGGGGAGTGAGTCTGCGCGATCACGCGAGGGGCGGGTGCCCGGGACTGGTCGACCCTGGCCAAGCACTTGTCGATTTCGTCCTTGAAGACGCGCCCTGTCATCGGAGGGCGTACCTAGCGCAGCTCGCACATGGTATCGGCTTTTCTGCATCAGATGATTTGCGGCCGTTTTTCAAAAGACGCGGTCGCCTTCAGGTCGTCGCGTCGCATCGGGTGGAAGAGCAGACAAGCGAGGATAATCGTGCGTCTTCCTTGGAGGAAACGCGCTCCCGGGGAACGCTCCAGCCGTACATGACGTCGGCTGTGTGGGAAGATGTACGGCGACGAGGCGGTACGGGTGATGAGGCTGATTTTGATGCGAGCGCGGTTGCAAGCTCGGGCGGTATGCAGCTTTTTTCGGAGGGGGCGCCCACACCGGCTCTGTCGAGGTGCGTCGACTACTGGAACGGCAAGGTGATCTCGAATCTCACCACGGAGGATCGCCGCCTCATTATCTCCACATGGAAGGCTTGGGCGCTGGACGGCTTTCACGTCGTGTGCCTTTCCTATACACCACTGCCGCATCACCAACGGGGGTTGTTTGCGCGAGGACAGGTCGAAGACCCACCCACATATCTTGTGGACGACTACCATCGATTTGATGAAATGGCGCACGTAGATGCAGTTCAGGAGGAAGCTATGACTGAGAGCGAGGCAAAAATGAGCCCGCACGGTCCCACAGGTGTGCAAGAAGACGATGAAATCGAAAAAGATCGGCCCAATCCTTGGGAGGATCGAGTCGATGATGCAGCGCGATGGGCAGAAAGGGCTATTCTTTCAAAAACGAGGCCGCCGCAGTACACTCCTGAGTCGCCTTCTGAATACATCGGAGCATCCCAGAACGTTCAATCGCCTCTGCCGAGCTCGAAAGACCAGCATGGTCACAAAATTGACAGGGACACAGAGACTGGCGCCCTCAGAGACTTTCCACACGTGAGCATCAGCATGCCGGACCTTCTTCGGGGAAGTACAGAGCCTACTCCTCTAGCTGGGACGGAAAACTTGTCTTCAGCGAACATTAAGGTCAGTTACGGTTGTGCAAGTGAGATAAGAAATGCGAGCAAGCGTCGTAAGGGAGGCGGAGTAAAGGCTGAAGCTACTTTTGACAGTCAGGCTCGAGAAGATGGATTGCTGTGGATCTTACTCCGGCGACAAGTGTTCCTGGGACTGGTCGCATCAAGCGTCCTGCCTCGCGATGAGATGCCCGGATTTGTGGAGGAAATGATGGCCTCCGGGGTCCGCTTCTTATTTTTCAGTCCGCGGAACATGCGACGCTCCAAGAAGCTTGCTGAGCAGATGGGGATTACCATGGACTGGAATGCTGCAATTTCCTTGCGCCCGTCCGTTGTGACTGTCCCCAAAAGCCATCTAATCGTAGGTCGCGGCGACGTGTATGGTGACTGGGCAATTAAAAGTCGTCTCCCTCACGGATGCGCCGCCATTCGCGAGCACCTGCACAAGGTTGACAATGTGCCTCTTCTGGTGAGTGTGTATACAGACGCGACTCCACCAACCATCGATGAGATGTTCCTCGTTTTTCAAGACCATCATGAATCAGTCCTCTGCGTCGGGTGTGGCTTTCGAAGCACTAACGCGCAACTGTTCCGGAGAGCTGACGTGGCAATTTCAGTTGGGGGCCTGCCTGGCGGCCTTAAGGGATCTCCCACGGCTTGCACATCCCCTACAGAGTCTCCTGTAGACATGTCACGCAAGCACGTCCCGGCACCATGTGATGCTGCTTTTAATGAGTCGATGGTAGGCTTATTCACTGTCCTTCGTTTAGAGGCAACCGATAACGGTACAACTGTCTCGCTTGCTGTTCTGACGAATGTTGTGAAGGAAAGTCGCCGCCTTTTGGGGTGTTTCTACCAATGTATTTCACTGGGAACAACAATTTTATGCACATCTGCTCTCTTGCTAATATTGCCGCATTTGCTCCCCTTTCCTGTGGGATCCACTCGCGGTAGATGGTCCCTCGCTGACACATTGTGGGTTCTGTGGATAGTGCTTCCGCTCCTTGTCCTCCCTCTCCTTGTCACGCCCGCAGACGCGGGCCTTCTGGAGCGCTGTCCGCGGAAAAATGTCATTAGACCTTTTGATCATAGCATCTTGAGGACCACTAGGGCTCTTCTTGTGCGCTGTCTGCCTACCGTGGCCCTATGCATGTACGCACACGCGCGATGTCTGGTCTCCTTACTTGTTCAATTCTCCGACGTGGTCAATGCTTGTCATGTAAAGGGAGCACCACAAGCCTCTGTGTCGACAGCATGGGCTCAATTTGGGGCTCTTTTAGCTTGTCAAGAGCAGAGCGCTCTATTTCGAGAGGGGCACACGGAGGTGACAGCCAGCTACGTTGTCGCCCACGACTTACTGCTCCTTGCCTTAGCCTGCTCTTTGTTTGCGCAGTCATCTACTTTTCTTCACGGGACTGCATCCCTCCGCGAAGAATCTCCTTTGCGCAATATCGCATGGATCATCGGCGGTACATGTTTGGTGGCTGGTCAGGCGTGCCATTTCATTGTGCGTGGCCTTACGCTGGTGAAAGGAAAGGGTCTTTCAGCCATCGGCTGGGATGTATGGGTTGTGGCACTTATTTTTGCGCCACTGGCAAGTTTGACATTGTCTGAAATCATCAAGAAAGCCGATGCCAAAATTCTGATCAAGCATGCTCGCTTCCGGCGTTTAGAGTTCGCGACGCGACTAGGGATGCATTCTCCAAAGTAACATGGCTGGGCACATCGAAATCTTCACATACATGTACTTTTTGTGTATAACTTGGAGCCTTTGAAACCCTAAAGGTTGCACAGCATTTGAGTACATAACTTCATAATTTCTGGTATGCATGCATGTAATTATAAGAGGCAGGTCACGCGCAAGCAGAATTGAAATGCGGTATTATGGAATTTGCATACAGTCATTCCCTTGCCTTGTCTCTCGAGAATTTTGAGACGTAGCATGACTAATCATGAGTATACTTTTGCAACAATTATGTATCAATTTTGGCGCGACTTTTGTAGAGACGAATCACGTCTCTAAGCAATGCTTCTTTTTTGTTTTTTTCCATTTGAATTTTAATCTGTAAAGACCGTATTTCGGCCGCTGCGATATCCTTGTCGGCTCGCAAGGTGTTCAATTCCGCAGTCTTGCTTTCTAGTATGTTCGAGAATAATATAAGTCCATCTCCGTTATCATGAATCAACTGATAAGTACACACCTAATTGAGAAGAAAGTACAGCAACGGTGTCTGAAAGCGTTTCCTCTGTGGTGGCTGGTGATGAGGGCGTACGCTTGGAAGAATTTTGGCTGGCAGGCCTCCTCATTTTGCCACTTTTTGAATTATTAGAGACCGGCATATTTTCCTGTCTTCGACGTGTATTCCTTTCATCCAGAAAACAGTAATTTTTGTGAAAGGTTTGGATTGCTTTAGAAACTCCAGGGCACCAAAAAACCGTTTTTATTTGAAGAGCCGTTGAGCCGTTTCCCTCGGCCTCCCACACCCGCAAACCCTCGCGCCCAAGGTCACGTCGGACGTCTGGCGTCAAACCCGCGCTATCAGTTGGTCAACCTCTCACGCAGGCCACCTTCGCTAAATAAGCTCCAGCGACAATGAATAACTTTTCTCAATTCTTTCCGACACTGGTCAGGTTCGTGGCACACTGGAAGGTATGGCTACCGGCCGCTCTTCTCCAGCAACACTTTTGCAGCCACCGCAGGTACGTTTTTCGGACTAGCGGGATACATCCATGCAATGATTTTTGAGGTTGAATCGACCCTTTTCGCTACCTGTTGAGGATTTGAAACCTTTCCTGTTCTCTCATCAATCATTGCTTTGCCCCGATTTTCCGCGGGATCTTCAATACGATCAAGCATTATTCTGATTTCCTCAATTATTAATCTGCACCTGGTAGCTCTCCATCAGTCCATCGAAATGTCAAATAGTGCTTAATGGTGCTTCATCCCAAAATGTGTCGTCCACCGCCCATCTAACCCTTATCAACTTGTCGCGAGCTCCGGGAGGGGTCGCATTTAAGGTACAAACTACAAAGCCTAAACGTTACGTCGTCCGACCCAATCAAGGCCTGATTGGACCCGGCGAGCGTTTAGTCGTCGAAATTTGGATACCGCCACATCAAAAGACGGGAGCAGTAGAAGAGTACAATAATTCAGGCGGGAATCATATGAAAGACAAGTTTAAGGTGGTCTATATGCAAATCCAAGACGTGAAGAATATGCAAGTAGCGGATGTCAAGTCGATGGAAGTGGTAAGAAGTGTGAGAGCTGTTGAGAAATAATTCCATTGCCTTGGTTATGCTATTACATCATTCTTCTAGATTCAGTTTGGCATTCAGAGGATACCAGTCTTACGCTTCATAATTTAACAGACAGAGCACCTACATCATTTGTGGGAGCAAGCGGATAGAAAAGGGATCTTTAGCCATAAATTTGATGTGGAGTGGAAATTATTGGAGGGGGTCTCAGCTCATTCGAGGGAGAATCAGTCTTCGTCGCCAAAAAATGATGCAAACACCGCAAAAGCTCCATCTCCATCTGCGGCCGAAACAGAGGAAGAGGCCTTCTTCTACCTTCGTGACGAGGTACGCAGGAAGCCCGTTTTTCATTGGTGGGATGCTTCATTTAAAACGCCCCTTTTTCCATTTGTGCAGATCCTTGATTATCGGCAGCGATATGACGAGCTCGTTTCTGATACGGTGCGTAATAAAGTCGTGGATGCCTTTCATCGGGCACTCAAGGTTCTCTTGCTTTATCACCACGCAGATCGCACTGACACTAGAGCGCGATGAATTGGTCAGATCACTCGATGTAACTACGTTCGAGTTGCGATGGGAACTTTCTAGTCAGTGTTTACGGGGTCAATCCGGCCATGAGGCAATGGAGTGTCCATCGAGCTTGCACGAGAGCCGCAGGTCGGTTTGGTGGAGCACAAAGATGTAACATAACGAGGATTAAATAAATGATCTAAAGGTCTTTTCTCATTCCAAACGTTACAAAAACAGCTTAAACAGTCTAAAGGCGTCCTTCGTGCGTTCCATAATCCGAGTTTTAGGAATTGCTTCGGGAGGTGATCCCTCCTCCGTGTCTCAAGTCTTCCAATGCTCAAGCCCCAATACTAATACTGTTTTTGGTCGGGAGCGTTTATTTGAGCCAATATTGGCAACATTTCGGACACCAATGGTTTTCCGAAATGTACTGGTGATAGCCCTTCTGTCGTTCTTTCTTGGACTTTTTACGAGAAGCTGACATGCGGTATCACTTCGAACACCATTGTGAAGTAAAGCACTTTGTACATAAATAGAAAGCTAATAGATAGTGGGCTCCGTTAAGCGGCCTGTTTTGCATTGGTCTCTTGAACGCAAATATTGTACAGCAACACATTTATGACATATTCGATCACAGTCATTTGATTTCAAGCTTACAGCTCTGATCACTCTTGTTTCTCGCCACAAGCGGAACAGAACTTAGCCCGTACAGGAAGTATCGCGCGGCACGCAATACAGAATTTGCTTTCCTCCTTGTCTTGAGGTGCTTCGATACAGTCCACACCGCTCGAGGTATCACTAGTACTTCCCGTACCCCCCACAGCTTTCTTCTTTGGGGGCCTTTGCTTGCCCTGCCGTACCCAATTGTCAATGAGCGGTACGATTTCCTTCAAATCTTCAACCTCACCGTCGACAAATTCCTTTGTGATGAAATGCGTCAGGTAGTCATCTGTTTCCATGGTGTTTACGTGCACTGCGGCCTTGTCCTTGAAAAATGGCTCTGTCGACGTCTTGAACGAGGACGCCAACGAAGAAAGCTTCAGAGGCCCTACCGCTCCTTCCTCTGCTGAAGTCCTGCTACTATCCTTGCTCTCTTTTTCTTGCGCTTCCAATCTCGCCCGTTTAGCTGCCAGTTGCTCCTCCTCCACCTTCGCTTTCCGCTCCGCCGTGTGGTACCAGATAGTGCGAAGCTTGAAATCACTTTTGGCCGCTAGTATGTCCTCGGAAAAGTCGTCACCGATATGCACCCACCGCTTCCCCACCCCCTCTCCCACCCCTGCCTGCTGGATGGCCGCCATATAGGGCCTGCCCGTCCGCTTCCGGGCCCCGACCTTCTCGGCGTTGATGCAAAACTCGAAAACGCCTGAGGTGTACGAGGACAGAGGACAGGGTGCGAAAGATGCAGTATGTGAGATAAAATTTTCGCAAAGCAGCAGGTGTGGTGAAACATAACGGGCATTGCGTCGACACTCACCCTCGAAGGCTGCGATCCGAGAGATGTCGCAGTTGCCGTTCGTGATGGCACAGAGGCGAAGGCCACGGGCTTTCAATTCCTGGAGCAAGTCTAACGCACCTGGAAAGAAAAGCTCCTGGACGTCGTGTCGAGCGTCATGCCAGGCCTGAAAGGCCGCTTCGGCAACAGCTTGGGGCTCGGGCATGTCGCATTTTTTCGCCAGAGCAGTGAGGGCCAACTTGCGGAGGTCGGTGAACCGAACGACCGACTTGCTGTCCTCCGGATCCTCCAAAAACTCCTCAGGGTGCTTTTTGGCAAGCACCCACATGAGTGCAGAGACGGTGGGCAGCTCGTCGGAGACCATGGCGGGATAATTTGCTTGAAGGAAAGCTTGCAGCGCCCTGTGCCGTAACGACACGGAGCCAGAAAGCGTGCAAGCTGGACTGAGATGCGCGAGTGATTGCGTGAAAAATGAAGAACCCTCACTCACTTACTTGTTGGCATTGCTGATGACTGTTTTTCCGCACCACAATGTATCGTCTAAATCAAAACTCACGACGTCGACCCCAACGGCCTCCTCAGGGCCCGTGCCTTCCGTGGACGGAGACTCTCCTCTGGCCGCGCTCCCTTGCATAAAAAGATCTTCCCAATATTTCTCTTGAAGCAGAGGATCCTCTGAAGGGTTCTCAAACAAAGATGTGGTGTACAAATCCCGCGCCGGTTCCCGAGAGTGAAGTGCCCGTGGCCGGGTCGAGCGACTGCGGGGAGGTCGGAGGAAGGCCGCGACTGAGGGTACAAGTAGCACGAAGAACGCGAAAAGGGGAAGGCAGGGTGCGCTCCGGGTCATGGACAATCACAGCTCTCTCTGTGTCATGAGATGTACGCGATCAAGGCTTTCATTGAGCTTTACGGGGGTTTAGCTTCAGTGCAGCCACCAGGGCCGTCGCCGCGATCATCAACGTTCCTCGCGGGGAGTGCATGGGCCTGCCTCGCCCATCTCAGACTCTGGTAACTAGGTAGACATGCCGCGCGGCGTAAGCAAGTCGTATGTTTATTATTGTAAAGCTCCACGCCAGCTCTGGTCTTTGCATTGCATGCTTCATCGACCTCAATTCCTCTGGTTTTAAACAGGTGATAAAGAAGATATACTCCCTGAGTTTTCGACTTACTTTGCTCTTTGAAGCCAGCGGTGCCAGCAGCCATGGTCTACGTGGAGCGTGACGGTAAGTTGTGTGAAGCCAATGTCAGTGTGCATTTTCGCAGTCCTGCGGTTGCTCCGTCTTCCTTGCCAAAGTAGGAGTCGTCCTTACCCTTGCAAAAATTGTCAATCCTGTGGGTTAGGCACAATGACGGCGAAGAAGACGATGATCCAGAGCATTATGGACGCAGCGTGGGGACTTGTTAATGTAGTAGGCTTGTTTTTCTCCACTTTCGTCCCGTCCACTCGCGAGGAACGGCGCGTTCAGGCATTGGAACGTCGCGGGGCGCGCGGAGGGAGGACCTCTAGCAGCGGCGGCAATGCAGGGGGTGCAGGAGGTGGCTTGCGACACAGGGGATCAAATATCCACAGCTTACGGCAGTCTACACAAGCGACTGTTCCAGGGGGCGGATGTTCAGGGGGTACCTGTGGTTGAGATACCATGTAGGGAAAGCGTGCACATGTGAAAGCTTTTTTGTGCCGGACGAAAGGCGCTTACGTTAAGCACGACAAGAGACCAAAGACAATACAGGGCGTCGGCTGTAGAAAGATATGATCACGTAATTTTTTCTTTGTCTT